AATGAAGAGGTAAACTGTCTTGCGGCAATGCTTTATGACTACTGGTATGTATAAATTTTGAAGATATGATCCCAGTGCATGTGTATTTAAAGACAAAGTGATTGGTCTAGAATTTCAAACGGTGCACTTGTTTACCGAGATATCATTTGAAAACTAGATTCACGTGAACTTTACTTAGCAATATCTAAACCATTATTGCAAATTAATTAGCATAATATATGTATTAATTTGGTTTTTATTAGTCTCTAAAGAAAGTGATAACAAGGAAACAACAGCTTCATGCTCTCATTTTCCTCAAGACGATTCGAGGTACTGTATAGAATTAGCAAAATGTTGAATGTTTGTATACTTCTTGTTCTGTCTCCATTGTGGCCCCATTTTACGGGTAAGTTACTTTTTGCAGTTATTCTGTATTTGAACATCGTTTTCCCCATTTTACATTGTTTAAAAAGCATCTGACAAGAAACTTTAATCGTAGGCCTGTAGCCCTGGCAATCTGTGGACTGACCCGAAACTTAATTGCAACAGAAATAATTTTGGCAGAATTTGTTGCAGCAATATACATGAAATAACGTACTAAAAGTCCGAAAAAATCCAATCAAGGGAATAGGCCTATTGTTAATTTTTGATTTAAAAGTTTGCTACGTAATTTTTTATATTTATTACCAGTCAATTATTTGATTTTTTTTTTCTTTTTTTTTGCAAATACACCAAATATGTTGAAACGAAGTGGAATGTTGGGGCTTATATTGCTTATCTAATTTTCAAATAAAAGAAAATATAATTTCACCGAAATGTATAGTAAAATACAGTACTTTTGAAAATCTCATACACTTATCACATACGGTAGTTAATTACACGCAAACTTATGCAATGATTGGTTACATAATGTTTTAATTGATATAACGTACAGATAGCCATCTATATGTAGAGCCTGGCGGTACAATTACAAAAGAATTTGGGGAAACGTTTGTGTCGTTTTGTCACTACAACGGTACCAAGGAACACCGATGGAGCTTTGGAAGTCAAATAATAACAGGTTAAAACATATTTTTTCTCATTATGATAGGCCTATATATCACATACACACACATACACGCATATTATAATAACAATAATAATAATAATAATAATAATAATAATAATAATAATAATAATAATAATAATAATAATAATAATATAAGGAAAACAGGAAACAGAGTAGAATTTTTAGAACACAATTTGTACAGCGAAATATTCATGAGAAAATAATAAAAAAATTGTGTTCTGAAAGTCTTCTCCCTTTCCTATTTTCTTCTGTTATTATCCACATGAACATTCGTGGAGATTAAAAGGTAAAATACTGAAAAACAACATTGCTGTAGGAAACAATGGCTGTATCTCAGTAGAGATACAGATTTGATAAGCAACAGCTAAAAAGTGAACGTAAGTAAACAGCCAGAAATAGAACCAGAGTTTTCGTACAACAACTGGCGAGTGAGTGAGGGTAGAAAAAGCCAGATACTGTAGTAGAAAGTGAGAATTTCATGCAAGCATGATTAGAAACAATAGGCTGAAACTAAATTCTAGAGGCAAGCCTCTATAGTAACACAGATAAATTTGGAATGCTTATTGGATTAATTTAGTGTACTGGGAGAACGTTTCCAAGTCCA